ACGGAGACAATTCTGCTCTCGGGTGCCCCTTCCTCCCCTCCCAGAGTCGGTCGATCTGAGAGAGTTAGTTGGCATGTTGCCCAGCACAATTAGCTCACCTTATCTCCTTCGCCCGAAGAAAAGGTAAACAAGCTGTCAGACGGCTGATGGATTGCTCATCAGACAGTTTAACGCGACCAGGATTCCGGAGCTGTAACGACCAGCTCCCAACAGCAAGCCCCTCCCACACCGGAAGCCTGGACCCTCAATATTTAAGACTTAAACCCCTTGTTTCTGAGAACTTTCTGAGAGTCTTAGAGCTTTCATTAGATCTTTGAACTAGCCATGTCTTTATATTTCTCTACTTTTCATTACCTCATTTCGTCCAGTTGTTTGAGTAGGAATCGCAGTCTGGTAAGATTCAGTTCCATAGTCAACTTCGGCCACATTATACTCATGATATTCATCGACAACGTTGGCCTAATGCAAAAGGAAAAAATAATGTACAAAGTCAACAGGCATCCTGGGGGGAAAAGCGAACGCTTAAGGAGAATTTCTGTTTAGCTAGATTACAATATTAGCCAGGGGTGTTTTCATCTACTAAGGGTTAGAGCTACTGGTTGCCATCATCACAGATCTTCCAAGCTGAGTCTAGGAGAGATCTTGATTATCGCTGAGCTACTTTTACCCCTGTTTTGCCTCTGGCTGCAGCTCGAGCGTTTTTCTTCTTCTTGGATGGCAGTGTTTCAGATTTTTTGAATTTGAACTTTGGGGGCTGGTTCTTTGCGCTAGCGGTCCCTGTCTTCTTCTTCTTCTTTGGGGCTTTGTTCTTTCTCTGAAAAAAGGGGGGTGAAAGATGGAATGGGAGAACATAAACAAACAACAGGGGAAGAGCAGTAAGACACAAAAGACATCAGGACGAGCAGAGGAGGACAAATCGTGATTTCCTGTCAATTGCCCTGACTGCCGCTGTTGAAATTAAAATGAGTGTTCGTGGACAGACAGGAAAGGGAAGCAGAGAGAGTGAGCTTGATCAACAATAAGACACCACGTGGACAAACCATCAGACAGACAGGACAGACGGACATCAGACAAGACAATACACCACGTGTTGTTACCTCAGTGTATGCTACCGTCTCGTCGTACAGTGGGGGTCCCTCTGTTACAGTTTCAAGGTCTTTATAATCTTTATAATCTTTATAATCTGGATCCCCATACTCATAGTCATATTCGATTAAATCTTCGGTTGCATACTAAATTGCGAAAGGAAAAATACCAGGCATTGGTGGATTAGTGGCAGGAAGCTCTCTTAGCAGCCCTGAGAAGCTCTCTGTTATGCTTCCCTTTTCTAGTTGGAAATAACAGTTACGAAATTAAGGTATAAGATACAGAGTAGGATTTTTGTTTTCAGAAGGGACGGATTTAAAAAAAGTATTTTTTTTTTACTTTACAAATTGAATTTAAAAAAGGGGCAACACAACTTTTTTCTTTGCTGAAATATGATTTATGATTAGCA